TTTCTAAATAAATCATACCAACAGTCCAGTACATACCACCATATAAGATTGTTTTGAAAATTAGAAGACGTATAACATACATAAGTTTCTTACTATTATTTCTATTATGAATTTGGAGTTACTGAGCAAGTATAATTCATAATCAATTATTTTATTGACTGTAAATAGAACTTATTGTAGGTAATTAAATCAGTGAATGGTGTCTGAACACTACAATATGTTTTTTTCAGTACACCAAGTGATTCCTCTATGTAGCTAGGGTTAAAAGTTAACTGCCAACTAACAGGCCTTCTGTGCTGTGCTGAGGAAGTACTCTCATTAAGTAAATGTTTGTCTTCTCAGCTTGTAAACAGGAAGCTGTGAGCTCTTAGCCTCTATTTGCTGACAGTGCCTGGTGGGCCATGAGCTCTGAGCCTCTCATTTGCTTACTGACTGAATCTTCTGGAGAGGGTGGAAGGTAGTAAAGCTTCAGGAAGGGCCCGTTTAGCCACCAGTGGGGAGGTGTTTGCCATACAGGTTGAAATGGGAGAGATGCTTCAGTAAACCTTCCTACTTGGGTTCTCCCTCATTCATGGAGTTTCAGAAACCCTGTGGTAGAGGGGGAGGAAAAAATATAGGAGCCAGAGTGGTGGAGACTACCAGGAGAACAAGTCCCACAGACACAACTACCCAGGGCTCATAGGGGCTCACGGAAACAGAAACGGAAATTATGAAGCTTACATGAGTCTGTGCTAGGTCCTCTGCATATATGCTATGGTTGGTAGCTTGGAGTTTTTGTGGAACTCCTAACAGTGGGAGTAGGGGTGTCTCTGACTCTTTCAACTTCTCTTGGGATCCTTTTCCTGCTACTGGGTTGACTCAGGCAGCCCTGCTATGAGGGTTTGTGTTTAGTCTTACTGTGTCTTGTTATGCTATGTTCAGTACATGTTTCTGGGAGGCCTGCCTGCTCTGTTTTAAGTGGAAACAGAGGAAGAGTTGATCTGGGGGAGAGGGGAGCTGTCCTGGGAGAGAATGAGAGGAGTGGAGAGAGGGAAAACTTCAGTCAGGATGTATTGCAAACAACAACAAACACAAAAAGAGTGCATGCTGCTTTTGCAAAGAAGTAGAATTTCTTTCTCAGCTCCCACATCAGATAGCCATAACTGCCTTTAACTCCACCTCCAAGGAATCTGATGCCCTCTTCTGGCCTCTATGGACACCTGCACCTCTCTCTCTCTCTCTCTCTCTCTCTCTCTCTCTCTCTCTCTCTCGCACACGCGCGCGCGCGCGCGCACACACACACACACCTAAAACAAATCTTAAATGGAGAAAAATACTAGAAAGTAACAAGGAGGGCGTGATGGTTTATATATGCCTGTCCCAGGAAGTGGCACTATTAGGAAGTGTGGCCTTGTTGGAGTAGGTGTAGCCTTGTGGGTATGGGCTTTAACATCTTTGTCCTAGCTGCCTGGGAGCCAGTCTTCTATCGGCCTTCAGATGAAGATGTAGAACTCTCAGCTCTGCCTGCACCATGCCCGCCTGGATACTGTCCTGCTCCTGCCTTGATGATAATGGACTGAATCTCTGAACCTGTAAGCCAGCACCAATTAAATGTTGTCCTTTGTAAGACTTGCATTGGTCATGGTGTCTGTTCACGGCAGTAAAATCCTAACTAAGACAGAGGGTTACTTGTTACTTGAAGTAATGGAAGGCATAGGAATGTGATCCTCAGGATGATGAATGGTTTGAGAAGTCACTAGCAGATAGACCACTGCCTCAGACTGGCTATCAGGCCATTTGTATGCAGGATGGATTGAAAGATTAATCAGAGTTTGAGAACTGAGTAGACAGGGAACCATAATGCAGAAGTCGGTGGGATTTTACAATCTACAAAATCTATAGTGTACAACGTTTAAACAAGACTCAGAATCTTGCAACCTAATTTTCAAAAAGTCCTCAATATAGTATAAGTCCATATTGAATGTGAACAACAAGGAGAATCCAATACCCAAACGTGCCCCAGCCCGCAGGGATTCACCGAGACCCTAGGGAAGGGGGCGAAAGAATGATAGGACAAGAGACACAAAGAAGAAGCACAAGTCTGAATGTCTGACCAAGTGTTTAAACTTTATTTTTCGGGTTGCTGTTATAAAGGCAGAAGGGTCATCTAACAGTCAGGGTCCAGGGTCATCCTGTAATTGCAAAGTTCTCTAAGCCCACAAGAATTCCTAGCCCAAATTACTTATCTAAATATTTTCTCACCAGCAAAAAGGCAATTAAAACATTTCTCAGCTCAAGTTGCTTATCTGATTAATATTTTCTCCCTGGCAGGAGGGCAGTAAGGTATTCCTTAACTCAGGCTATTTACTTAACTGACATTTGCTCCCAGGCAGGAGGGAGTCTTGGCTCCCAGCACAAATGTATTTGGTAAGAGTAGAGACACCAGTGCAAAGATGCCCCAGATGCTATACACATTGGTGATATCTTCAGAGCAATGATAGCAAAAGATTCTAATCTCCTCACAGGCAGAATGAAATGTAGGAAAATATAAAGAGGGCTGAGAACATACATCATCGAGTGAGCAACGCATATAAAATTTCTTCAAAAAAATTAAACATTTATCCTAGTTATATTTTTAAGTGTATTTATTGGGCTGGAGAGAGGGGTCAGAAGGTAAAAGAACTGACTGCTCTTCCAGAGGTCCTGAGTTCAATTTCCAACACCCACATGGTGGCCAACATAACTGTTGTCCCATGAGCTCCAGTGTCTGTACGTGCAGATAAAACACCTTTACCCATACTAGTAACTCCCCCTTTAAAATGTATTAATTTCTTTAGTGTGCTGTGGGTGTATATGTGTAGGGAGTGTGCATGTACGAGCACAATCGTGTGTGGGTGCATTCAGGGCAGGGAGTGCACGTGTGTGTACACAAGTAGAGGCCAGAGATCAGCCTCAGATATCCTTCAACAGCAGCTATCTACTTTCTTCTCTGAGGCAAGGTCTCTAACGTCTACCTGGGTTTTGATGACTGGGCGATGCCCAGGGATCCTATTGCCTCTGCACCCCCTATTCTGAGATAACGAAGGCACACTGCCACATCCTTTATTTATTTATTTATTTATTTATTTATTTATTTATTTATTTTGTAGCTAGGTCCTAGGATCAAACTCAGGTCTTCCATGCTTGCACAGTTAAGCACTGAGCTATCACCCTCCCCCAACTGGAATTTTAATAATAAAAAGCACAACAATTAAAATTTTAAAAACTTGCTGTAGAAGCTGGAGAGATGGCTCAGTGGTTAAGGGCATCGTACGACCTTCCAGACAATCTGAGCTACATTCCCAGCACCTACACAATGGCTCATGATGGTCCACAGCTCGAGAATCCAGTGCACTCTTCTGGCCTCCTCAAACACTGTGTGAACAAACATTCATGCAGACAAAAACATTATACATATAAAAAAATAAAACGAGAAATTACTGTAGAAAAATGCCTAAGCCTAACAAATGTGGACAGTGTCAAGCATACCAAGACATACGTTACAGAAGCTTCTGGAGAGAAGACAGAGGAAGATGAAAAAGAAAACTGGCCAAGACTTTACACATCAAGAAGCCCCCCAGATTCCAGGAAGGATCAGCACAAAGGGATCCAAAGCACAGCACAGATTGTCAAAACCCAGAGAGGGGAGTAACAACTCATACAGGAGAGAGTCTATAAAGACAAGTCCATTTTTCTCCAGAAATGGTGGGCTTTCATCTAGTTTCCAATAAAGTCATTGTTTTGGTTGTGATCAGACAGGAGGCCACCTGTGCTTCACTCAGAGAGTTTGTATGCCTGGTTTGTCCAGCATAGGAAAACTTAAGGCCATCACTGGATGCTTTCAGCCAGGTTTATAGTAAGAACCTGTAGAACTAGAAAACTTACAATTTCTGTCCGGAAAAGGAGTGCAATTAATCTTGCTGCTAAACAGAGCTGTCTTCCTTAACAGTTGATTTATCTCCGATACCCTTAGTTACTTCAAAGTCACCCCAGGCATCTGATTAACTGAAGTAATATTGATTTTCTTTTTCTTTCTTTCTTTCTTTCTTTCTTTCTTTCTTTCTTTCTTTCTTTCTTTCTTCCTTCCTTCCTTCTTTCCTTCCTTCCTTCCTTCCTTCCTTTCTTTTTTTCTTTCTTTCTTTTTTTCTTTCTTCTCATGTCTCTGTGTAGCCCTGGCTGCTCTGGAACTCGCTCTATAAATCAGACTGTCCTCGAACTTAGAGATCTACCTGCCTCTGCCTCCAAAGTGCTTGGGATTAAAGGTGCTCACCACCACCAGTGGGCCTCTTGTAATATTGAAGGGCTCAAATTCAAGTAAATCTTATTTATCATGACTTCAAAGTAAGAGATCAGTGATTCTGGTCATTCAAATGCCAAAAAGAAACTGTACAATGATTGCTTTACGTGAAAAGACCAAAGTGTGGTGTATGTATGCGTAGGAAACCGTAACCTCTATGTGCAGTTTCAGACGTCTATTGTGGACCTTGGAAACATATCTGTTAGAGAAAAACGGACTACTGTATTTGGAAATGGTGTTTGGGAAGGTATTTACATTCAATAAAGGCATGAGAATTATAGCCTCATGATTAATACTCTTACCACTAGAGGTCCAGCCTTGGCACCTCACACCCAATATGAGCTAATTTCTTTATCGTTTAAGCAAGTAGGATAAATCTGTTATTTTCCAAGACAAATCCCTCTGACAGAAGCCAGATAGATTTCTTTCCTTAAACAAACTGTTTTTATTTGCAGAACACTAAGCATAACCCTTCAACACAGTTACTAGCTTCAAGCCTTTTGAGGGTGTTCCAAAAAAAAAAAAAACCCAAAACCAAACCAAACAAACAAAAAAAAAACCTGCCTAGAATTTTCAGGGAGATTGAGAAATCTATTTATTTATCATCTTTCCCCTCCCTGCTCCTCCTCCGAGTGGTCAGTTCTTTTATGCAATAGGCTCTGGGATACCTTTTTAAAGAACGTACCTCTGTGCTGTTCAGAATCACCTCTAGAAGCTTCACATTCCTTCTGTACAATGAACCTCAGCACTACAAACCACCAAGTATCCCTAAATGATGGAAGCAGCATTCCAATCATTGGGCTTGGAACCTTTTCAGATCCTAAACCGGTATGTGTGTGTGTGTGTGTCGGTGTTGCTTAAATGGATTTTAACTAAAAGGTTGAATTCTATCTGATCAGGTTTTAATGTTTTATAATTGCAGAATGTAGTTTTTTTTTCTTTCTCTTTGAAAGTCAACTTAAGGCTAACAGCCAGAGTGAAGCAGGAAACTTGGGACTCGTGAGTTTATGATTTGTAAATTATTTTTTAAGTTTTTATTTAAGAACTTTTAGTTCAGTCTAAGGAGTGTTTGATGAATACCTGCCACACAGGCATATCTAATTCAAGCTTTTTCAATTGTGACATGATGCCATCATCCACAGAGTACATGCTTCAAAAGATTGAAAATAAAGTCATGGCATTTTAAGTCTGTGAGTTTTAGGAGAGATGCATTCATAGTCACCTTTGTCTAGATGTGATCTGTTGGCTGCAGGCTAGACTCACCTGTAAGCATGAGTCTATAGAAGCTTCCACCATGAAGAGAGTTGTCTTGCTATGTAGGCATTTAAATTCTAAGAGAAAGCAGACTCCTTAACTGTGGAAGCAGAGAAGGTAGAGTTTGGTTCTAGAACTGTGCCTCCTGTCTGAAAGCAGTGAAAGGAAAAGGATCAACATCACCACACAGAGTCAGAGCTCACCAGTTGCTACAGTGGCAGACCAATGAGCTCCAAGGATCAATCTGCTCCTCAAGCTAGCACTGGGGATACAGCCTCACCCCTTCATGTGTGGCTTTTATGTGGGTGCTAGGAATCCAAGTTCAGACCCTCATGTTACCATGGCGTGCAGTTCACCAATTGAGCCACCTCCTAGCCCCCTATAGTAAACTTTGAAGGATCAAACCAAAGGATACCTCTTCCCACTCACAACACCCTAACTTGCGCATGCTCACACACGGCCTCTTGTCCTACTGCCACTCTGTAATCTTTCTCATTGGCCTGCGAAGTTTATTAGAAAAGACCATTGCTTGTTCAACTCTAGAGTCTCATGACAATGTCTTATATATGATTCATATTCAAATAGTGCTTATTAATCTAATGGAAAAGTTTGTCTGAGATGTGTACATCAGACAGTATGGAGATATAAATTTAAAAAAATAGCTAAAAGTGTTCTAAACACTTAACTGTGAGCCTGGAACTCTGTACATGTTTTGTACCACATGCATTTTCTAACATAATCCTCACATTACAAAATCAATACTGGTTAAGCCCACTGACAGATAGGAAAAGAGAGATGAGCCTAGAGAGACTGAACACATCCAGGTTAGACTGACAAGGCCCAGGGCTGAAATGTGAACCCATATCATTCATGTCCAGACCTTGGGCTCTGTACACTGGTTTGTCAATACTGGTGAAATCACATTTCTGAAGCTCCAGTGCCAAAGACAACCTGGAGGGCACAGAAGGAGTGCTGAATGAGGCAGTTCGACATAGTTTCTCTTATCTCAATGATCTTCTAATCATCAAAGCATGGCATTGGGAACTGTTCTGTGAGCTATAAATCATGTATTATGAGATATCCTTTTAAAACCCATTTCTCTCCTCCCAATATTTTTCCACCTTATCTCATAAGGTCCCTGGAAAGACCTATGTGGCAGTGAAGACAGCTATTGATGAGGGGTACCGGCACATCGATGGGGCCCACCTCTACAACAATGAGCATGAAGTTGGTGAGGCCATCAGAGAAAAGATAGCAGAAGGGAAGGTGAAGAGGGAAGAGATTTTCTACTGCGGGAAGGTGAGTCATATCTTACTATGTAGATACACTGAATGGGCTGTAGTGTGAGGGGAGAGCTCAGTAGGATAGTCCTCACCTAGTGTGCACAAGGTCCTAGATATGATCTCAATCAAACACTGGTAAACAATAAAGGAAGGAAGAGGGGGAGAAAAGGGAGGAGGTGATGGGCAAATTATCCTTCGGAATCCTTTAATTTGCTGAAAGCAATATACCTGTGTAGACATGCATGTCAACTAAGCATAATAAAGCATACACATCAAAATATAACCACAAGTAAATAATGCCATATGTAACTGAGTTCATGGAAGGACTAATGGCTTTGGCCCATGAAGGTTTGCCTTCACTTCAGGTTTACCAACACCCAAGAGCAGTATGAGGTAGAGGATGAGTTCCCAGGCTTTGTGGTAGATTTTTATGGTGGTTTGGATAAGAATGACCCCCATAGGCTCGTATCCTTGTGTGCTTAGTACCCAGTTGGCAGAATGTTTGTAAGGATTGTGAGGGGGGCCTTGTTTGAGGAGGGGTGTTCTTGTTGAAAGAGGTGTGTCACAAGGGGTGAGCTTTGAGGTTTCAATACTCTCTGTGGATCAGTAAGTAAAGCTCTCAGCTACTGCTCCAGTCCCATGCCTGTGTGCTTGTCACCATGATGATAATGGACTAAGCCTCTGAAACTGTACGAAAGGCTCCAATTAAATGCTTTCTTTTATAAGAAAGCTTTAGTCTTGGTGTCTCTTCACAACAACGGAATAGTGACTAAGATAATTACACATCTTACAACATGTTTCCCACACCATAATACAAGAGAATACTTGCAAAAATAGCTGTATGGTTCAACTGTGAGGTACTTAGCATTTATGACCCTTGTTTTCCCTCTGTAAGATGGAAATGATAAAGTCAAACATTTCCTAAACTTACGGATTGGTATTTACAAAGCACTTGAACTGTACCTAGCACAAAACTAGTATTGTATGTCCTTATTGAATAAAAGAACATTAAAGAAAGTCTATAATCCAGGCTATTCAGGAGACTGAGGCAGAGGGATCACAGCTCAATGCCTGCTTGGGCTAGAGATGGAGTTAAGACAGTCTAAGTAGCTTAACAAGACATCATCTTTAATTTTAGAAAGGAATTAGGCTGTAGCTCAATAGTAGAGAGTTTACCTGGTGTGATTAGGCCCTGGGTTCAACCCCTAGCATCACAGAAAGAAAAGGAAAAGGAAATTAATATGAAAAACATACTTTCCACTTGGATGGAATGGCAGTGATAATGCCAATAGAGTCCATGGTGACAATGGAAGCGTATTTTTCTCTTCTCTTTCTCCTTTACATTTTTTCTATTCTATGCTCCTTTTTCCCATTACTAGGGTTTGAACCCAGGGCCTTGTGCATGCAAGGTAAGCACCGACTCACTGAGCTACATTCCAATTTTTTTTTTAATGATATGTGTAGATAGGTATGCGTGTGTGTTCATGTATATGCAGGTAGGTGTGTGTGTGCGTGTGTGTGTGTGTGTGTGAGACTGTGTAGACCAGAAGCCAACCTCACCTATCATTCCTTCGTAGCCATCCACCCATTTACCTTCTGTTTTTGAGACAGGGTCTCTCACTGAGATCTGGGGGGCACTGATCAGGTTAGACTAGCTAGCCAGCAAGACCAGGGACTACCTATCTCTACCTCCACAGCACCATAATTGTGACTATGCTACCAAGCCTGGCTTTTACATGGGGCCAAGAGATTAAACTCAGGTCCTCATACTTGTATGTCAAGCCTTTTACTGACTGAACTACCTCACCAGCCTTCCTCTGATGTTCCCTCTACCAGTTAATCCTTCTTTAAACTATAGTTTGAGACAGAGTCTTTCCAGGTTGTCTAATCTGGCCTAGGACTCTGTAGTCCAGATAGGCCTTGAATTTTCCACCCTTCTGCCACAGCCTACCAAGCAGCTAATAGTACAGGTGTGTGTCACTGTGTTGTAAATGTGTCTTTTAGTCTCCTGTTTAATTGTCAAGTCTCCAAGGCTTCCTGCCTCAGTCTGCTAACCTAGGCCTAGTCCTGGCAGTTTCTAGCCTCTAAACAACCTTATCTAGGCCTCAAATGTTTTCAGCCTCTGAGACTTACTGCTGAATAAGCTCACCCTTTCTAGTTATTTCTGAGCTCTGGTTGGCTGATTCAACTCAGCTGTTTAGGCTCAAGTTTTTCTCCAAACTGGCTGATTTAATATGGCTTCTCTCAGCTTCTGAATTGCTCCTCTTGGCCTCATACTAACTTTGGCATTTTGTTCTAGTCTGGCTCCTACTCATTCTCTGGGTCTATCTATCTTCACCTGGTCTAGCTTGCTCTCTCTCTCTGCAGCCTGTCTGGGTAAAACTGTCCTGGTAAAACTACCTTGTTCTTTCTCTCTGCACTGCTCTCTTAAGTAGCTTCCCTTTCCTCTCTTTTTGTGAGAGTTGTTCATACGCTTTCAAATCTTTCTCTGATTCATCACTTTGTCTACCACTCAATTAGACATCACTTTCAAACGTGTACTTCCTTCTTCAAACTAACTTTACCTTTATTGTTTGGGATTAAAGGTGTGTCTGTATTCCAGCCAGAGGGATTAAAGGTGTGTGTAAGGTTGAGCCATACAACAATTAGAATCAGGGCTTTTCAGTAAATAACACAATCTCAGGATTCACAGTATGATCACATATCCTGCAACACTATGTCTGTTGGTTTGTTTTTGTGTGTGTGTGTGCTTTTAAGACAAGAACAAAACTGGGAGAGTCTAATATTTCAGTTTTATATCCTGTGACAAATATATAGGGTCAATCCTCCCCCTCAACACGTACAAAAACTTTGAAGCAAAATTTATGCTACAAAAATGTACTAATTTATCTGATTACCACTCTATTGTCTGCATTGGCATGGAAACTTGGCCTGACTCATCCACCATCCAACACTTTGAACTCAGAGTAAAGCCTTATCTAGGGTTGGCAAAATTGCCCTGAGGTGTCAGGCCAAATGAGACTGTAGAGCAGTGGATTATCATAGCGGTGTCAAGAGTCTCATTCAGTCTTCATACCCTCAAGTGTAATCATGTTTCTATGATGTAAAAGGGACAGATGACATGCGTATGAGGGTTTTACTATGTGAATGTGGAAGTAGTAGATAGTATTTCACTATCCTTCATGATTTTCTTTTCAGTTATGGTGTACAGAGCATGTCCCAGAGTTGGTCCGCCCAGCCCTGGAAAGGACGCTAAAGGCCCTCCAGCTAGATTACATAGACCTTTATATCATTGAATTGCCCATGGCCTTTAAGGTAAGCTCAAGTACCTAAAGTTTAGAGCTCTGTTCCATATTGATCACTCTTTAGTAGCACAGAATGCTATAATGCTTTCTATCATAGATGGGAGGATACTAACCTTGCCTGACAAAACTCAACAAATAATGCTTACAGGTTTGAGCCCACATTTCTTAACTCAATGTGGTTTCTATGATGCATGTTTTAACAACTGTAGTTGTTTTCCATCAGAGTAATGCTGTACTCTGTATTGTAGTTGACCAATATCTAAACATATCCATCTTCTAACCCCACAGCCATAAAAATATCTTCACATACCACAAAGTACTATAATATAATAAAAAAAAAATTCTTACCTTCCATTCCACTCAACAGGAGACAACTAAAAAGAGGGATTTATTTGGCTTCAGATTTGTGAAGCTGAAACCGAGGCAGAGTATCAGGGTGACATTTATTTCTGGATTACAAGTATAGTCCTTTCGAGACTTTTCTCATCTATAGACACATTGTTTATTTAACATCCTGATATATGCAGTTGCTGAGTAGCAAATGCTTTAAACTTTAACTGAGAGAAAGAGAAATTAAGAAACAGAACTGGACTTGGGAGAGTGGACCCTTCACCTTGCCTGGGCAACACAGTAGAACTGGTCCTGATAGAGGGAAAGAGGTTGAGGTAGCCCTAAGAGTGTGACCATGAGAGATCTGGCCAAGCCCCTCATCTTCTGTGCTTTGGTGTGAGCAAAGGAAAGATGTCTAACACACACACACACACACACACACACACACACACACACACCTGTGGCAGGCAGGTCTTGCTCATCACCAGACATAGCACTTGAGAGAACTGCAGCAGGAGCCCAGACCCTCGCCTGGGCAGCACAGTAGATCTGGCTCTGGTTGTATGTGTAAGGGAGGGCTGGCCCTGCTGGCAGGAGCACAGGAGAATGGTTGAGCTGACCAACTCAGCTACCAACCCAGGCCCAGATACAGGGCTCTGAGTTGGCCCACCCCAACATCAACGTTGTCTATGGCTGCAGCTTGCCAAGGGACAAGTCCTGCAGATTCAAAGCTGTAGGATCTCCATGACACAGGGCAACAACAAGATAACTGAGAGGAGTCCCAGTGAGGATCCAGAATCGATAGCAGAAGCCAGAGGCCTCAAACCAGACCGATGACTCACTGCAATGAACATTTGCAAGTAAAGCTGTTTGGGCAAAAAGGTGCACTGTGTGACACACTGTGACACACTGCAGCTTCCACTGAGAGATGTTTCTTTTTGTTTGTTTGTTTTTTGTTTGTGTTTTCTTTTGTGGGGAGGTTGCAAAGGCGAGGGCAGATATGAAGGGATGGGGAGAAGAGTGAGATTGGGTGAATGATGTACAATTCACAAAGAATTGATAAAAGATAAAATGCAAACAAAAAACCAGAACTGGGGACTAAAGTGGCCAGTGGTTAAACATTCTTGTTGCTCTTGCAAAGAACCTGAGTTTGATTCCCAGCAACAAGCCCAGCAGCTTACAAGCACCTGTGACTCCATCTCCAGGGTACCTGGTACCCCTTTGGCTTCATGAATATATATACACACAAATAAAAGTAAAATAAATCTTTTTCTTTTCTTTTGTAACTTTTGCTTTTTCAAGACAGGGTTACTCTATGTAGCCCTGGCTGTCCTGAAACTCACTCTATAGACCACGCTGGCCTTGAGTTCAGAGATCCACCTGCCTCTATCTCTGAAGTGCTGAAATTGTGCAGTAGGCACAAGCAAGTCCTTTTAAAACAAAGAAGCAAAACTAGTTAGCTGTCCACAGAGTGAATAACATGGCACAGCTCCAGAGAACATTGAGTCACAGTGGCTCATTCATATGTATATACATTTATGTATGTGTGTGTCTGTCTCTGTGTGTCTGTGTGTGTGTCTGTCTCTGTGTGTCTGTGTGTGTGTGCCGGGAGCCAGCCCCGGCTTGGTGGGAGGAGAAGGTGATCTTCTTTCTTCTCCTCCGGTCGGTCGGTTCTTTTTGAGGCATCCGAGGGGAATGGGAATTGGAAGAGCGTTGGCGGGAGTAAGACTTGGTCTTATGAGATTCGGGGTAAAGCCTTGGGCTTTACGAGATATTTAAGGTTGCTGTCTAATAAGGTTTACTTCTCTACGTTACTAAAGTTTACTATTAGTCTACTGCAGCTGACCGTCTATCTGTTTGATCCTCTGAGGCCAGAAACTGCAGTTTCTGGCACTTAACACCTCAGCAGAGGGACAGCAGAGGATTAAGCAATGCCTTTGATCTGTCTCTGCAGGTGCTGCCAGGCTCTAACTTAAGTCTGTTAGTTTGAGGTTGCAGGAAGAAAAGACACTTAGAAAAGTTATTGTAGTTTATTACTAAGTGTAAAGAGTTTCCTATGAAAGCTATCTAAAAGACAAAGCGGGTAGGTCCTAAGTGGGGGAAAAAGGAAAAAATTATAACAAAGGAAAAATTCTAAGTGGAGAGATTCTAAGCAGGGAAGAAAGAAGAAGGGAAAGAGGAGAGAAGAGAGGAGAGGAGGGGAGAGGAGAGGAGAGATAGAGAGAAGAGAAGAGAAGAGAAGAGAAGAGAAGAGAAGAGAAGAGAAGAGAAGAGAAGAGAGGTGAAGAGAAGTGAAGAGAAGTGACCGCTAACGAACGTCCCTTTGTCTTATACATCCTTCAGAGTACCTGATCACATGTTACAAAGTTCACCACAAGTTCACACCAAAATTCAAATCATAAATTGAAATAGAAGTTTACAATCGAGAAGTTTACATGCATATCCATTAGGAGTAATTATCTGACTAAACATCCATCACCTGTCTAGCTCCACAGGTTCACCGAAGGTTTAAAACTATAACTAAGAAATTAGTGAAGTTTTTATATAGATAAACCCAAGCAATATTTTCTCTTCTGTCCTAGCACCTATAATAAATCATGAGTTCCCTTTTAGTGACCTATGGTTAATTGTTTTACAACCACCTTGGAATGTGCTCTGAGCAGGAGGGAGTCTGGTTACTATCTAAGGGCTGTTAACTGATGACACTTGGGAGACTGGTAGAGTTCTCATAGCAGTTTTGAATATCAGAAAGGGACATAATATCAGTCTCACTATAAAAAGAGCTAAATAATCATTGATAAAATTTTAGGAATTCTTATAGGATCATCATTAAGACTTAAGAAGTCGTCTATTTGTCTATATAGCAACACTACAAGACAGTGCATCTTCGTGGGTCTGCAGAGATCTGCTCCAAAGGGGAGTGCTATTGCTTAGTGATTGTTATGTATGTTTAATAATAATAATAGGAAAAGCATATTAATAGCAGGATCTTTCGTAAAATACGTCCAGCATACCCTTGCTGATGTGGCACACTTGTTGCAGATAATAATCCGAGGCAAGCATTTCAGGATGATCAACTGCTAATTATTAGCTTGTCCTATTATGGCTCCTGACATGTGTGTCTGTGTGTGTCTGTCTTTCTGTGTGTGTGTGTGTGTGTGTTTGTGTTTGTGTGTCTGTCTTTCTCTGTGTGTGTGTGTCTGTCTGTCTCTCTCTCTGTGGGGGTGTGTGCGCATGCACGTGTGCTTGTGCGTGTGGGTGTGCCTGTGTGTGTGTGTGAAACCTGCTGACTCCAATTATTATTGCCTTTGTTTGTATTAAGTTTTGTGATAACCACTTAGGATTAGGTTCTCTTTGTTGCCTTGAACTTCAGATAGGATAGCTTGCCAGAGCACTGACCGTGAGAGTCCTCATTCTCAGACACCTTCTCTTACAAAGGCACACATGGCTACTGGTAAAGATTGGGAGATTCAGGTAGGGTAACGGAAGTAATGTACCAAGTGCATTGGACAAATGGAGCTACCTGGAGACTCCCACACAGGAGAGACTGTATTAACTATGTATACTAATTATATCTAGCGAGCCAGAGGCCCTGGTGCACACAGATAGGCACTGAAGAAGCCAGGAAAAATTAAACATGCAGGGCTCATCTCATCAAAGGAAAATGATGTCTACCTCCCAGAATGCTGGGAAAGGTTGTACTTTATAACCCATGGCCCTTTGCTGTCTGTAGAGCCGGGCTTCAGCTGTATCCCCCAGTATTTGTGTTTTGTTTATTCCAGATCCTTTCCCCTAAATCTTGAATATTGTTTCTAAGTCTATTAAGCCCATCCTTATGAGAGACGTCATGTCACTCGTGCTTTACAGAAGCCTAAGTGATTTCTATGGTATCTTAGGCCAGGCCAAGCCCGACCCCCACAGGCATTATCTTTACCTTAGTCGTTCTCCCAGGGCCCTAAATCTGGAACACTGTTTCTGGGTCAACAGAACCTATCTTTAAGGAAGAAGCCAAATACATTTTGTAAAGAGTCTCAAAGTAAACATGTCTTAAGTTTGTTTCACACTTGGGACTGAGTTAATTTTTACCAGTGATGATTATTATCACACCAAACTTTCCTCCCAAATCGTGGTGTGCTTAAATATGGCTTAAATAAGCCAACTTGGTGTCAGACTCCAAGAAGCTTGGCTCAGCACCGGCTAACTGAGTCAGGCTGAACTGAAGTTTCATTCTTACCTCACTTGGGTCATTTCTCTGCTAACCATGATGCTTGCAGGAACCCTCACAGCTGGCACCAAATGTGAGACACACAACCCTTGGAGAAGGTAGGAACATTTTTCTTTAAATAGAGGTCCAGGGTTTAGGAAACTTGGGCCTTTCACCCAAGCGTCATGAGAAGTGAGAGAATGAATATTAACATGAGCTTTCCTCAGTCTTTTGAAACAGCATTTTGTACAATTATTGAGATATTTGTTAAGATCCAGAGGAGAAAATTACTTAGAACAATAGCTCTGCAACTTTATACACATGGGAAGTAATATAAAGAGAATCCAGGTTAAGAGACATTAAAATCTCTGGTAATTATTTTACAAGCTGGAGTAATGTCTTGAGTAATGTCTTCCTTAAACCCTCTCAGGTGGTGGTGGGGGAGAGGGAGGGAGGGAGGGAGGGAGGGAGAGAGG